CCATCTGAGTCTGAGTTTAGAATTAGTCAAATGTTTGTTTAAGTCATATAAAATCTGTGTTAAGTTTTATGATCTAATGCCAAATAAATTACCAAAATGCTTTTCTTTTAAGCCACAGTTTGAAGAGCTTGTGCAGTTCATGTCAAGCAGACCCATTCACGTGCTGATATTGAGCAGGAAAAGTGGAAACAGCAAAAAAGATGATTCCGCCTGGGCAGAATTAATTGGTCCTGCAGATGTTGATGTAATTAAGCCACCAAAGCGGTTTGTATCAATTAATTTCTCTAGTTAAGCAAAGCTTAGTTGTTGACACTTGTTAAATAGTTTTTTTGTAAATTCACCACATTTTGTAAATTGAAAAATGCACAAGAATAATGTTATGTGCATGCTTTAATTAAAAAAAACACGTTTTGAAATATCACTGTATACTAATTTGGATTGTGATTAAATATCTTGTTTGGGTTTTGGTAATTTATTTGGCATTATGTTAAAGATTGCTGATTGAGCTCTGTTGCCCAGATGCCAACAGTGAATCCTGGGTCATGCCACTTGCCAAATGTGTGCTGTCTAACTATTCCAGAAATCAGTGACTTCTATGACTTGCTGAGAAACCGCAGGCATACAGTGATGTCAGTATGTCACATGTTGCTCCAATCGGCAATTACTTATTTGACAGGAATCCATGAAAACCATAAATGGCTGTTCAGGTGTGTGTCAAAAAAGCATGCCTATATACTGTACCTTATACTTATTCTCTCCTGATTGGAAAGATACTACCAGAAAGCTGAGTCTTAAAATGATTTATTCCAAATTTTGTGTGTACATATAGAAATAAGCTACTCCAAATTAAAAATAATACTCTGAAGGTTGTTATAAAGCTGTATCCTAGTTTAAAACAGTCTTACTTAGTATAATACTTCTATTACCTTTTTTAGAACAGTCTTACTTAGCATAATAATTCTATTACCTTTTACCTAAATTCTTTTGCTCTTTTTTACTTTAAATCTGGAAAATAAGTTGCTTTCAATTCCAAGTAGATGTGTATTATCGTGCTTCCAAATTTCCATGTCTCATCTTTAGACAAAAAAAGGCTTAATCTTATGCCACATATCTTGGAAATGCTGTAAATGTAAAACAGCTTTGGAATCAGATGGGGACATTCTGGAAGCAGATTCCAGAACATACACACCAGCTTGTTTTTATGGATCTGACACAGTGTATTTGACAAGTCAGTTTGTGGTATGCCAGAATCTGATGCATTTTCACCAATGTGTAGGCAGCATTTTGTGCCGTGCGATGCAAAATAGATGCACAGTGGTCTCTAAGTAGAAAGCTCTTCAAAGCACGTTACAAAAATAAAAAAAAACTTTCCAAGGAAATGAATAAGTTACTGGAAGAAAACTCAGTATATTGATAAACAACCTTTTTTAAACCTTCTTTTTGAACTTTTTTTTAAATTATGTACCATTACTTGGGTTATTGTAAAGTTTGTTTTGTTTTGGAAAATGTTTTTTTTTTTAAAAGCTGTTAAGATCTCCGGTATCCATTGCATACTCAGTGTCAAGATCAGTGTTAAGTATGAAAACACCCGAATTAAGTATATTATACATTACAGCTAGTGTAATGTAATACTGTATAATTACATCCTTTTAGTGTTTAAATTAAAATTGATTATAACCCAGAGCTTAGAGTGAAATTCCATCTTTTTCATTGATTCACCGTTATTCAGAAAACAATGTGTTGCAAACATTTTAAGTGGTGGTGGTTATTTAAACTGCCTCAATTATATCACTGTCTGAAAATACTAATCTTGCTTTGGATAATCTGAATAATTTCTAATCCATTGTGGAAGATACCCAGCTCTGGTGACACATATCCAGTAACATTCACTCATGAAGCATGGAAAAATAGGCAAACTTTTGAAGTCCAGGAAGTTCCTGGAATTTATTTAAAAATAAAAAAGCCCTCTTAAAATAAGCATAATTCTTCAAAATAAATACCATAAATGGTTTTAGAGTGAATGGCTTACACCGCCTCTCTACTTCTCCAAAAATATTTTATTGAAAATACAAACTAAATATTTCAGGCACTCAAATTCCATTCCTGAAGACCTACAGTACAACAAACCCCACACTTTAACTCCTAACTGCTCAGTCACACACACTTTTATACACAAAAGCCATTAACTCAATCTACAGTATGTGAAAAAAGCACTCTCTCAAATTGTCACTCTCTTGTGATAATGCATCGTAGTCAATTATTCCATAATACAATTAAATTTTAGCCCAAGTTAACTAATTACATGCATGCAAAGGCCCTATTAGGCAGCATTTAGTGGTCTGCCCATTAAAATAACAGGCCTTCAATGGGACAACCTGACAAAGTGATACAACATATACTGAATGTATAACTGCCTTTTCCTGCTGAGATATTAGAAAAATGCTGTTGCAGTGCAACTAATCCTCTTACTATACAAACATTGCAAATTATGAAACACTGAAAGTGCTCTTGCTAAAGTTGCTAATGATCTCTTAATGCAAGCAGATTCAGATATCCTATCTATCTTAATTCTCTTACAGTATATCCCAGTGCTATTATATATATTTATTTAATTATATGCCAATGCATTTGATGCTGTTCATTATAAGATTTTGCATACCTGTTTCTGGCATTGCTCTTCTGGTCAAATTCTACCATTGCCCTTGAATGGTTTAATTGTTACCTTGGTGAGTGTCATCATTTTATGTAATACAATTGCAATTGAAATATATGTTTATGAGTGTCATGTTTGGCAGAAACAAGGTGAATGTCACGTTGAGAAAACACTCAATACCAACTGTGAAAAATGGCAGGGGGTCTATTACCTTTTGAGCTTGTTTTGCATCTATGCATTCTTGAGCCTTTGCCTCAGCCAAAGCTCTAACCTACTGTAACTGAAACTGGGCTTTCCAGCATGTCATTGATCAAAAGCCAACATCCAAATAGACAAAGACTTAAAGTAAATGCTCTTGCAGAGCCATCTTAATTTCCAGACCTCAATCCATTTAAACATTTGTGGTTTGAATTAAAAATTCACAAGCAGGTAGCAAATGAAAGCCATAGAGTCTGGAGGACCTACTGTAGAGCAATTCTGCCTGAGGAAGTTGACCAAAATCCTCCTGCAGAAATGTCAGCACCCTGTAAAACAAGGAGGTGTTTTGTTAGTGGAATTCATGCCAGGGGAGTATTTACAAAATATTAACTACTGGGGTGTGAACAAAATGTAACCTTTGTGTTTTCTGTTAATTATTTAAGACAAATATTACTTTGCTCTGTGCAATGCTATTAAGATTGAAGCATAACAGGTTTTGAAGGAGGGCACTATTCTATCTATAAATATTCCTGTTTCATTAGGAATTAGAAAACTAATCATTAGAAAAGCATTATAAAATAATGAATTTATTATTAAATTATTAATGATAATTATTTCATTATTATCATTAATGAAATTGTGTATCCCATGTCATATTTCCAAGGCAGAAGATGCTAAAGACAAGCAGAAACCTGGCTTTCCCCTCCAAAGATCAGAATGTTTGCCATATTTAAAGCAAATTTTGAAAAGACTGACTCTCAAAGCTTGATTTGCTATCCTGGCCAACAAGCTCAGTTTTAACTGTGGGTACTGTGCATGAAAGCAGATGTGGTTGAGGGAGAACAGCTTTGGATACCACATACTGTATTTGAAGGCTTTTAATTTTGATTGTCAGAGAGCCTAGGAAACTGTGGAAGATCGTAATTAAGGTAAATTGAGATTTTAAAGAAAGCTGATGTTAATGCTAGATTGTTTTCTTTTGTTTTGCGAGTTGGTAAATGGGCCATCAGACTGTTTAGATACTTGTTATTCAAACTTTAGGCAGGACTCCAGACAAAAGGTTTGGAATTTATTTTGATTGTTTTGTTTCTTGAAAGTCTTAAATGCATGTTCACTGCCTTGCACAAATGAAACTCTTGGCAACATCATTAAAAGTCTTCCCTTTGTGGACACTCATTCCTTATGCTCAAGTCTAGAAACGCCACCAGATGTGGTGATTGGCAACTCCAAATGCCACAATATATGTATAGTTTTATCCACCAATAAGAGATGTGAGATAGAATCGTTCAGTTGAAGCCTCCTCATAACAAGAACACCAATTTAAACTACAAGGTAAACAATACTCATTTCATATAAATATCTTCATAATGTGAAAGTGGAGCTTTTGAAATAATAATAAAAAAACCTTCTGCACAACTATTTTCTTGCCAGGAACTTACAAGAAAAGCAAATCAGGATTGCACAAAGCTTAAAAATCAATAGCTGCAAATACTTCCTACCTCTGAAAGGTCTTAATAAGGTAAAAATATTAATGCCATGAAAAATAAAGATCTTAATTCTTGTAACAGAGCATTAAACAAGTAATGAATGCATTGGAAAAGTTCAGAAGACAAAGTAACTTGATATAAAGATTTACCCAATGACTTTAAACTGCAAAACCATCATTTGATAGCAGCATTCTGTTTCCAAGCATCTTGGTTTGCATCTGAGACATTGACAGCTACTATCTAGAACTGTGTTTGGTATTTGACAGGCATGTCAATATTTGACATGAATGTAATCCATGGATGTAATGGATGTAATCCAAGCCATTGCAACATTGTATGTTAATTCTAAAAGGGCCAATTAGGCGCACTCATTCTAAAACCATGTTGATGTTTTAGTCCCAGGTCAAGCCGTGACATCCAAGAGAAACTAGAACTGTCAAGTCATGACAGCAAGGAGCTTGCAAGCAGGGAGTTAGCATTCTTCTTTCCATCCTTTGGTGAAGATGAAGGGAAGCAAACCACAGAAGGAGGGTACAAACCCCAAATCCAAAAAACTCTGGCTCTTATTCGCCCTAGTCTCCTCAGAGAAAAGAAAGGTAATCGTAAATGATAGGTATAGCTAAGTATATGAAAAGATAGCTCTGTTGGGACAGAATTTTAGATCTTCCTGCTCATTCTCATAAGATGCTGAGAAGTGATGTAAAGACCAATGGCTACAGTTTTATCCCATGGTTCGTGGGGAGACTCTGTTTACAGTTATTAAGTCAAGGCTTTTGAATTGACTTTGTCTGTCAGTAATCAAACTAGACTTTAATTTTCTTAATTGAACCCTTAATGAAACCAGTATTTTTTTTTAATAATAAATAAATCTTTTTGGAACTGCTTCACTCCTTAAAATATGACTACTTGAACAATAAAATATCTGACAGTTGTGGAATTGGAAGCAATTAAAAAGAATGTCTATTTAGGAATGTATCAATTTAATTTGGGGTTCAATTAAATAATAAAGAGTTTAGATACATTGTCAGAATGGCCTGAATTGCAAAACACAGTATTAAGTCATTTCAAAAGAAAACATCCAGATTGTGAGGCTACATACTGTATCAGAGATTGAGGGGAATAGGTAAGGAAATCACAATTATTAGGTGATTTTGAGGGAAGACTAACACGTTAAGGACAGTAAACCCATGATTCATAAAATATTAGTTTAATACAAATTTACAAAAAATGATACAATGAAATGTGCTTAGTGTTAAAAATACTAATATACACAAATACAAATATACAAATTTAATATTGTGCAAGTCCCAATAACTAAACACTTCAATACTGCAATAGAAGCACAAACCCACAGCCTCCCTGATGCTGAGCAATGCCTGCAGCACATGAAGCCATTTCTAAAAACCTTGAATTTTAGGTCAAATGCAATTAATACACTTAGTCTTAATTTGTTCTAATGCATTGTTATTCTCTACAATATACTGTATATTGTGTGTTTTATTTTGCAGGTTGCATAACTCTGCAGGTTTCTATATTGTACTTTTGCCAATGTTCCGCCTCAGTAGCTCTGTCTCTCAGAGTGAAACCAACAACGTGTTTTATGATTCATTAAAATTCACTGTACAGTGAGTAATTGTCTCACATTTTAAAGCAGTTATGTGTATTATGAGCAGCTGTGGACATACTGTAAGCAACATTATTCACTTACAACCTTTGTGCTGTAACACTAAAGTTGAACATACAGTGATCCTTTTCTGTCTACCACCAGGTGAGATCCTGAAGACAATTCATGAATCTGGCTTCCAAATTGCAATGCAAAAGGAATTGACCCTAACAGAGGAGCAAGTGACAGAGTTCTACAAGGATCATGCCGGCCAAGAGTACTTTCCGAGTCTGATAAAGCATATGATGAGGTGACAGAGAAACACATCTAGAGTTATAATGTGGTACCTTGCTATTGCACTCTTTGTAGGGCCTAACATTCATTCTCTTGCAGTGGTCCTGTTCTGGCATTGGCTTTGACCCGAGAGGATGCAGTGCAACACTGGAGAAAGTTGTTGGGTCCAAAAATGATCAATGAAGCGAAAGGAAAAGCACCTGACAGGTAAACACATTGTGTGGAATCCAGTGTGGGAAGTTGTCAAATGAGATTAGAGTTCAAGCTGTTCTTTTTTCCAGGCTCAACAAATTATTGAAGTATTCACAAAATATTGACTATAAAGTGTTGAAGTTGTTTTAAAATCATTCTATGAGCAGCATTTAGAGCTTTAAAAGCTTTGTATAATGCTAAACCGATGCCTTGTGCACTGTCATTAGTTTAGAACATTTCTGAACTGACGCTTAGCATTTTTATTTATGTGAGTGCATGCTGTGTGACTGGGTCAGTCTTTTGTGGTTTTGCTCACTGGAGTAATTTGCTTGCAGCCTGCGTGCTCAGTTTGCTGTTGACAATGTGCCAATCAACCAGTTGCATGGCAGCTCATCTCCTGAGGAAGCACAGAAAAATCTCAACTTTTTCTTCCCTGTTGAGCACACCCTGGCTGTTATTAAACCTGATGCTGCCAAAGAACACAGAGGTAAAAATGTTTCCCCTGATGAACATGAGTTCAGGTTAAACTGAGAAGATTAGGGTTTTAGAAAGGCGAAATACATACATATACAATATTGCCAGCAGCATGCTGTGATTATTTGTGAAGGTACTGTTCTTGTAGCCGTTTCATATGGTACTTGTGTATTACAACCAAAAAACTACTGGATTTCAGATATCAGCAGAAATGGAAAATGGAAAGTGGTACATTTTGTTTAAAATATTACAAATGTACATTTTAATTTTGAAAATTAGAGACTACACATTACTGTTGGCCTATATATTTACATTAGTCTAAAGGTAAATCAGTCAGACTTGTCTGAATGCAGGCAGCACGTTGGTGCAGTGGTTAGCATTGCTGAATTGGGGGCACTGGGCCCCCTGGTTCAATTCAAGATCTGGGGTGTTATGTGCTTGAGGTGTATATATTCTCCCCATGTTCATGTGGGTTTCCCCTGGATGCTCCAGTTTTCTCCCACCATCCAAAAACATACTAGGCTCATTGGTTTTTGGAGAAAATCAGCAGTGATTTGAGTGATATCAGCACATCTATGTATGTGTGTGTCCTGTGTTGGACTGGCATCCTGTCCAGAGTTTACCCTGCCTTGTGCCTGTTGGTTGCTTGGACTGGCTCCAGCTTCCCTGTGACCTTGAATTAAAAGAAGCAATTAGAAAATAGAGGGATGTTTAAGTCCCTCTGTGGATGTCTAGAATCATCTTGAATAGTAGTATTGAATAGTAGTAGAATACTACTACTTGAATAGTAGTATTCAAGTGCAGTGGTGGTTGATTTGGTTATGTATGCCTTAATAACAAAGGTGAGAAATTGGGAGAAAATACGAAAAAGAGTAAAAAGCACAAAATAAAGAATCAAACATTTTTCCAAATTGTGCCCAGACATATAGATGTTGAGCATGTTTTTTCTTTAAGACAACTTAATCCACTGGTGCATCGGTCATGTTTAAACAGTAATCTACTTCAGACTGACGTCTAGGATTTCAGATTTTCAGTCTGTTTAAAAGGTAGCATGAATATGGTTCAGCTTCCATATATCAATCTGAAAGGATATTTATGATAGTATACAATAAAAAAGTTCAGGTGGGTAGCTGCGTCCGCATGCATAGGCTGCAAAGGAACAAGTAATAGGTGAAATGCTGAAAAGAGAAGAAAGGAAACACAACATTTCGGCCGTGGAAAAGTTTGTTGCCAAATTCTCAATGTTGAACTTACAACTTTAATTATTAAAAATTCATAGTTTATTTGGAAGAATTTTAAGAGTTGTAGTTTTGTAAATCAATCAAGTCCACATTTTTTATGTTTGGTTAGTTCTTCCCTTAGATGTACTTATCTTAAAAATAGATGTGTCCTGCATTAATTTAGGCTTACTCTTTAATTTTATTTAAATAAATAGATAAGACTTCATTCAAATGTTTGGATCATATTGGGCAAATATCACAGAACAGTTTTTTTTTTCAGATGATATTATAAACAGTATCAAAGAAGCAGGGTTTTGCATTTCACAAGTAAAAGAGACCAAGTTAACCAAAGAAATGGCTGCAGAGTTTTATAAGGATCACCAAGGAAAAGTGTTTTACGATCAGCTCGTCGATTACATGTCCCAGTGAGTATGTTGCACACTTACTGTATGTGTTAGCTGATTCAGAAGAATTTCTAAGTGGTGTGAAGGTGAAGTGTGATTATTTAGTCATTTCCTGATAAACAAATGCCTGTTAACTTGTAAGAGCCTCAAACGTGTTCTCACCCAACAAGTGTGCGCACAACCATGTAACATCACATAGGGAAGTATAATGCTATGCATTTTAACGACCTTAATCCATCCATCCATGCATTTTTTTAAAGGCTTCATCAAATTTAGGGTTGTTCAGGAGCCAGAGCAAGGAATGGGTGCAATGCAGGATACATCCTGGACAAGATGCCTGTCCATTGCAAGACACACACAGACACACAAACTCACACCAGAGCCAATTAACCTACCAATATGTCTTTGGACCGTAAGAGACCACTGGAGCATCGGGACAAAACCCACATGAACACAGGGAGAACATACAAACTCCACACAGATAGCACCCTATGTCCAGAATTGAACCCAGGGTCTTAGCATTACAAGACAGCAATGGTAGCCATCACACCACCGTGCTGCCTATATCACATTAAATATACATCGTTTCACTAAAACTGCCTTTTCTTCTTAAATTATTATTATCTCCTATTTTATTGTTCGGTAATCTTTTCAAATGAGAGTCCTATTGGCTATTCCGGTGGGGAAGAGATTTGAATTGGACTTTGAAATAGGCTTCTAATAGAGATCATGTTACTTTTTCTTGCAGGGGTCCATCCGTGATGATGATTCTTAGTAAAGAGAATGCTATTGAGGAATGGAGGAACACGATAGGCCCTGTGGATCCAGATGTAGCCAGGCAAATCGATCCTAACTCCCTTCGAGCTCAGTTCGCCAGAAGTGTGCTGGAGAATGCACTTCATGGATCTTCCAGTGTGGACCATGCTAAGAAAAACATTCGATTCATATTTGGCGATATTGACTTGAAGTGACAGAAAACAATAGATGCCATTAGTAATCAAGGGAATGAAAATGAATTGTAAAAAATTATACATTCTTTGACTTTGAAGACAACATTATCATTCCGCTTGCATAAACTGCAACATAAAGAATATACAATGCACAGTAATAAAAGTTAGCTAACACGTTATTGCTAAGCTCAAACATAAATTCATAAATAAAACAATCGAATACACCAGGTACTCTATATTTATACTGTAGTTGTTTTTTTGTTGTTTTAACTGTTGTTTTCAATAACAGACAGCTAATGAGTATACATTGGGTGATTAGTCACATAGACAACACATTGAATTGTTCAAGTATCATTTTAATAGAAAACTATCATTGAGCTGATTTCCAAGCAAAAATGATTACATGAGCAAACACCTAATACCTTTCACAATAACAAGGCTAAAGACAAAGAAATACATATTTAAATATGTTAAAGAGTTCCACTAAGAAAACAGCATCTATACAGTATTCCTAGAAATACAAGGGCAGTAGTTATTGGGAATTAAAATGGTCAGAGTCTGCTAAGGCAGTGCATGGTTGTTAAGGACAGCCAGCTTCAATGTATTTGAACAAATCTGAATTTCCTTAAATCTCCCTTTCAGTTTGTTACATTTTTACAATTTCCCAAGTTATATGTAATAATTTCAATACTTAAAAAACATTTTCACGCTACTGAATGCTTTGTGAGAAATATGGCTTATACAAAGCTTTAAATATGATAAAACTCAATGTCTATAGGTGCATTTTCTGTGCATTCATCTACCCATTTTCAATTACATTGAGTCCATTTGAAGGTGATTGTGACCTGGAACCTAACCTGGAAGCCAATGTTTGCAAAACAGAATACACTCTATGATGGCTCACCTGTCCATTGCAAACTCACAGAGCTGAGGGCTTAGAGACACAAAATAATCAACATATTATGTCTTCGAACTGTGAGAGCAAACCAATCACCTAGAGTGGTCAAACGTGGTGAAAATGAGAACATATAGACTCCCCACAGAATGTCACCAGACTGGAATCAAACCGAGTTGTAAGACAACAGCACTAATCTCCATGCCATTATGGTCCCCAGTTCATGTTAAAGTAAAACCAAATACTGATTCCAAAACATTTTACATTATTTGTAGACAATGTTTCCATTCTATTCACTTACACACATTGATCAATATGTATTCACAATGTTGGTAAGTGGCACAGTCCAGATAATATCCTACAACCAGGTCAAAAGCTGTTCAACAAACACAGTAATATGTTCTGACTAGTTACCATTGATTCAGTATTATGCATTTACTGTGTGGCCTTTTAAACTTTTCTGTTCCTAATGGGCTTTCATTAGGAGTTCTTGAGCCTTTATATAAGGAAATGTCTTGAGAGGAAAGGAATGTTGTGTTGTGTCATGGCCATACAGAACATACAGCAAACAAATAAACATTTGATATATTTTAGACAGTTCAATAATGTCCCAGTGTATTTATTAATCCTATCTTTGAAAAATTTCAGTAGCTAAACCCATATCATAGATCTGCCTAGTTGTACATGATGTAATGTTATTTACTACATAATTATTTGCTTAGCCTTGATGCCTCCAGTCTATTACATCACTGCAGTCTTGAAAAGTCTGCCTCCTGGAGTGGTTTATGCAATGATTTCTGTCACTTGATTTACACTAGCATTTGAGCTCTGCTGAAGTAATAGGCTGTTAATTTGTTTTAATTGGTTTCAAACTTTTTGTTGCCAGTGGAGCTGTGAATGCTGATATTTTTACACATTTCCATATTTTGTGAATATTCCCATTGAGCACATACAGAAGTTATTGTGGCAAAATAGTAATTCCAGTTTTACAGTAACAATAATTGAAATGCACATGTAAATGTTGTACTCATATCATGATTTTATTGATTGCATTGTAAATAGAAATACCTTGTTCATGATTTTTTCAATATATCTCAACTACTACGTCATGAGCAGACAGAAATAGGTACAGTATGTCAGCTAGGAGCTTAATTTTCTTTTAGACACATGTGAGATTCATATTTGTGTGCTGACAGAATCTTTGGCTAGTATTCTGCCTAAATCAAGAGTCTAAAAAAGTTGCCTTGTTTCACTAGTTTTGCCGAAAACACACTTTTGTCAATGTGGTGTTTGTTAAAAAAAACACGTAAACCTGATTTAGCTTATACAGAATTTTGACCAGATGATTTCACTGACATTTATTGGGTCATAACAATGATTCAAAGTCCACGAGTTTGAACATAAAAATTCATTTTGGAGCCAGAGTAATACATTTTGCAGTGAGCTGTAGCTGACATCTATTTAGTTGTGTTGTTCCACAACTTTGAATCTTCAAAATCTAGAAACATTCCGAAGCAATTCTTCTTTAACTAAAGAGGCAGGGAACATTTTCATTACTTTAAAGCCTACAATTATCTTTCAGAATTAGCTTAAATAACTTCAAACACATATTCATCATCAAACAAAAATGACAAAAACATTATTTTACAAAGGCATAGGATAACTAGGGCGGCACAGTGGAGCAGTGGTTAGCATTGCTGCCTTGCAGCTCTGGAGCCTGGATTCAATTCTAGACTTGGGGTCCAATCTGTGTGGAGTTTTCCCCATGTTCTCATGGTGTCACGGATATCAGAAGGGACAAGCCGTGGAATGGCAGGAGAGCGAAAAAAGACCAAGGCGAGATGGGTTTTAGCCCGGGCTCAGGAGGTCAGACAATGTTGGGTAGAAACCTATGCCCTCAGGCCACAGACGTAGGGTGACCTGGTGCTAGGCGGGTCTCAAGACATCCGAAACCTCAATGCTGAGTGAGGAGGAAAGCGTGACACCAGTGGGAAAGAAAGAGAGGGATTGGGACCTGTCATCAGCACTGACTGGGCAAGGACCAAGACACTCAAAGAACCAGCAGTGCAGTTAAGGTACCATGGGTAGCGAGGATTGTAAACAAGGACTCGGCATGGACTGGGCAGCATGTTTGGATGTGCGTGGAGGGCTGAATAAGATCAAGAACCAGGCAGGTCCTGGCAGGACAGCAGCACAGGAGAAGGACACAAGACACAGACATTGCAGAGGCTCTACATCGGTGGGTAGGATGCTCAATGATAAGAAGGGAGGATGGAATACAGACAAGAGAAGGGAAGACATATTGGTAGGTTAATTGGCTTCTGGGAAAATCATCCCTGGTGTGAGTGTGTGCGTGTTTGTGTCTATGTGGACCCTGCGATAGCTCTCCAGGATCTCCCCTGCTTTGCACTCATTGCTTGCCAGGATAAGCTCCAGCTCCCCTTTGACCCTCTATTAGGTAAAACAGTTAGAAGATGGATGGACAGATGAACGACTGAACACTGTGTGAGATGGAAGTGTTAGATATTAATCTACATATTGTGTAGTTCATATGAATTCCTGTACTCTGTTACAAATTTATATTTAGCAAATCAATGCAATGGTGACTAATGCTTATCAGACGTATTGCCATGGAAAAGAGTTATAGTGATACAGTATATGACACCATCATGCTCATAGAGACAGACATGGGTCAACATGGGTCCTTATAAGTTTGATAGCTGCTGAGAAAGAAGACACAGTGGACATCAGATGTGATATATTTTATTTCAGAGGAGGAATGTTGACCTCTTACATTTTAAAGTGTGAAGGAATGCTGTACATTGTGGGATGGCATAATTTTTTACAATTGTTTTCTATGGATTTACAAAAAAAATTGCTTTAAAAAATCGGTTTAAAAAATGATGTGGCAGACATTTAAAAAGCTGTTCCAGCAGTCTTGTTCACTTGTTATAAAACACCGAAGCATGCAATAAAGCCAGCTTTTAAAAGAACAACAAAAAAACAATAGTTATAACAATAATAAAATTATTGCACCTTAGGGAAAATAGGCAAAAGGAAAAGAGGTTGCACACAAGTCATCTTGTGGAGATGTAGATTGTGGAAATTTTTGTGATCACGATAAGTCACAAAACTCACTAAAGTGCTTTCCTAAATCCATCTATTACACAGCAAAAATGAAAGACTCTCAATGCTTTGAGACCAATACATGTGTAAGTCTCACAACTGAGTCTTCTTTTGCTATGCAGTAATGTAGCGAAGTGGAAGAAATATTTCAGTGTGTGTAGTCACTTTTGTATCAGAACCTTAGGAAATACTGTATATCAACAACATTAATTTGCTTTTAGGCTTAGAGAGGAAAAAATATAACAAACTTCACATTTACTGACACCTCCACAGATAAGTCTTTGGCAGTGAACTTGGTCAACTTTATGAATTAACAAGAAAGCGCAGTGTTCACAGTCAAAAGACAATGAGCAGTTGTCTGAAGTGATACACAAATCTATCGCATTTCTTACATTAAATGAAACGCTAATCACAGGCCCTTTCAGGGCTTTATTTATGTTTTTAATTTCCCTGCACTCAAGCAGAGACTAATACTGAGAGTGTTAGTTGTCAAGCATTATAACCCTGTGTGCAACACAAGTCACTTTTTGTGTTTTCCTGATCCTGTAGTAGGTTGAGATGTTGAGTTGAGTTAACATACCATAAAACATAAGACAGAATCAGGTTACATACACTGAATGTTCAAGAACAGGGGCCTGCAGACCTGGTCCTGTATGTTTTTTTTCCGCCAGTGTGTTACCATATTTCCCAGACCTTTTCTTACTGACTATTTCAAATCTCCCACTAAAAAGTGCAGGACTAGGACTGCAGCCCTCTGAAAGAGATTATTATTACATTTCATTCACAAGAGGATTCTGGCCATGCAGATTAAAATTCTCTGTTAAAAAAGAGACACTGCTGTAATAGTACAATGTTGCTCTTACATCTATCAAGCAATAAGCTGCATATTCCATTGTGTCCTAATTGCTTTATAATTGCAAGTGATTATATGAATATATGTGCATGGGGGAACCATGTTTGAAAAGCAGGAAGCTGTTGAAACATTACATTTTCGTTGATTTCAGTTTAAATGATTCCCAGGATGGCACCACAAATGGAAAAGATAGGAGTTTTCAGACTGCCACCATTCACATATAAAGAGGTATTGCATAATGGTGAAATATAAAAAAATAACTTCTATTTTCCAGCTATCCAGAAGCCTACTAGCAATGCTCATATGGCCTTTCAATGAGTATGAGATAGTCCAGCTCATAGCACTAGCCCTGCCCTGGTTCTGTATGTCAGTCTTGCCGAACTTTGACCATCTTCTGAACTGACAACACCAAAATGCGTGTTTTTTTCAAAGACACAAAAACTACAGTACATCCTCATGCACACTCAAGTAGTGATCACATGGTAGGATATGCAACAATACGAAAACAGGGAAAGCCATTTAACAATGGAATAGTTCTTATTTTGACAACTGCAGAAAGAAAAATGAATACAACTATTACACATGGTAATATGGCATACAAAATATAAAATCTGAGAGGAAAGTGCAGGTGGGGAACTCCTCTTTTTACTCCACTAACTCACTAAAAGTGCCATAAGAAAAGTAAGTTTATGGGTTCTTAAAAATACAAGCTCTTAAGCAGATGCTGTTTTCCAGCTGAAAGCAGAGGCTGGATTTGTGCAACAATTTTTAATAACACACTGCGACAGGGGTGACATTTCTATCACATTCACGCCTGTCACCTCAGTCCTAACCCTTCCCCTATTTGCATTGCATGAACTCTGTGCACAATTCCCTAAGGAACACCACTATTCATCTCTCAATAATTTTTAAATAAGTTGAAAACAACAGAAGCCAGTCTGAAGTATATAATACATTTAAAAAAAGAAAAAAAATCAATATATGTAGAAACAATACAAAAACGTCAAATCTACTTAGTTGCAAAGTTTTTTTTGCAGCACACAGGAGTGTCACTAACGCATAACCAGATGCAATCATGAAGGGCAACACTAGGTGGTGTCACCCTGGTTAAACACAAAGGAGCTTGAGAAACAAAACACAAATGTAGTGCAAAAATGTTGGCACTGTACGGTGAGAGAACTTGACAGGTAGCATAATAGCCACACCCCCCCTCCCCCCAGAAAAAGAAAACCATGGAAATATTGTCAACCATTTGCCTGGCTTGTGAAGCCAGACGCCACTAGTCATCATGCAGAACCCTCCACTGTAACATGATGTAATAGAAATTTGGCAGCTTATGATTTTTTGGGTTTCCCATCCCTTTGGGTGTTCTTGCTTGTGGCGGTCTTTTTGGGGGTACCGGAGGCTGAACCTGTGCTTTTAGGGTTCACTTTGGGGCTGCCGGTGTTGGGGTTCCTTTGTTGCTCCTGTAGTCTTTGCTCCCATCGCTAAGGAGAGTAGATTATAAGTGTTAACACACTAATTAAAAGATATATTTGTTTTTTTATTTTTGCCCATTGTCATGTGCTCTTCTTGTTCGTGTGCTATATGTTTTTAAATGAAGAGTTGTCCTGCATTACATTTCCTCATAGTACCCATCTAAAATATAAAGGTACTGAACATTTAACAAATAGAGATTTTAATAGCATAGTCGCCCATGTTGAGTGTGACTTTTTGAAAAGTATTTTTAAGTTGAATCTACAAAGTACACATTAAAGAAAAACATGTTTCAATCACACTGTCAATGACATGAGTTGTCAATGACATGATAATCTTATGAAACCACCTGTGTACAGTTTAAGTGTCTTCTGTACTTTCCTGGGAAAAAAAATAGTCAAAAACTAAATCAGGAATTAAGTTAAATTCTCTTTAGCAGTTTATGATACTGGCCAATTGCCTGTATCTCCACCAGTGTGTCTGTTATATAAGACATTCTCAACCTTGTTAGTTCAATTTTAAGACATACTTTGTTGTGATGTGATTTATAGTTCCCATTAATGCACAAGCTAACACCCATAGATAATTTATGCCTGGCTAGTGCAAATCAGTCCTATAAATTATCTGTGGTGACCTAATCCTTGGTCTCGTCAACCTTTAATTGTGGCAGAATCTAAAGTTAACCGTTATCTTGGCGTTAACATGACTTTAATCTCTTCATGTTCTTCAATATATCTCTTCATATGTAACATTGTGTTTCACAGCCCTGCCACATTCATTCCCACAGGGAAGAGAAATAGAAACAAAACATCCTGCACAAGTACATTTTAATTTACTGGAGTAATACAGTATGTTTGAAAAAAACAATTTAAATATATTTCAATATGTAAAGAAATAGATTTTAAAATTATACCAGAGTATAACTTATTATAAACATACTGTAGATGCAATTTCAAAATATTTTCCAAATATGATCAATATTACAATATAATGCTTTTTGAAAGCATTTACTCCCTACCAATGTTGTCCTGTTTTGTGGTGACGAATTCAGGTTGACAATTTCAAGCAAAGCTTGACCCATTGAGACAAAGGATCATTCAGAACAAATCAGGGCTAAAGTGGTAAAACGGTACAGATCAGGAGAAAGGAACAAAAATACTTGAAAAAATCTATGAGCATGGGGAATTAGGAAATTGAAAGTTACACTGGTTAGATCAGGTTATTCCTCCAAACTGAGCAGTCAATTAATGGAGGAAACTGGTTTCAATTTAAAACTGGATATATTTAATTTAGACTGGATTTTTTTGGTTTAAATTACAAAATGTCAACACAGAATATTACCCAGTCAACACCATTCCTACTGTCAAGGAGTTTAGTAGCAGAATTGCATTAGAAGGCTGTTTTTCCTCAGTAGGGACCTGGAATCTTGTCATATTTGAGGGTAAAATGTATGCAGGTAAGTACAATCAATATTTGTTAGAGGAAAACTGGGACAAAAACATCTGTATACATTAAAGTGAAGCATCATTGGACGGGAGTGAATAATTTTGGAAGGCATTGTATATCTAAACCATACTTTAGAATGTGTTTTTGCCAACTTTTTCCTGTACTTTTCTTGAACATTTTCTGCTTTGTCATTCTTGGTGTCTGAAATCAAATATTTTCAAAAAAGTAAATAATACTTTTAATACTATAAAATATGTTCGCAGGGGTGTATTACCCCTTAAATGCCAGTAATGATTCTTGAATTTTAATGTTTTTAGTAAAATAGGAGTACTATACGAAATGAGAAATGAGTACATGTATATAGTTAAAAAGAAAATGGACGTACAGTATTTGTGAAGCCAGTGAACTCACACAGATTGTGTGTTCAAATATTCACTGAAAGAAAATACGGGTCCAATAGGCATCTCACTTTATAAGAGACCATGATATCACTGTACAGTATATCATCTACTGTATTAAGGAATGAAGACTGTCATGACAATGAAAATGCATATGAAAAAATATTTAAGCAGTGCTTGTTAATATACTGAGATGATTTAAACTTTCACTAATTCAATGAGACACCTACATCTTCTTCGGTCTGTTTCTTTTGGCAGGGTTACTCCCATACCTTCATATCACATAATGTGCCTAACCTAGTCTGCATCAATATCCCAGGAAATTCCAAAAAAAAACTGTTTTTTTATTTCAGAAAACATATCAGAAAAGGTTACGATGCCCTTCATTTCAAGTAATAACTGATCCTTAGTGTAACAAAAGTTCAAGAATTGATTTTATGAATGGGTACAAATTCATAAGACGAGGCCGTTAATCTAGCATATTTCCGTCACATTTCTGTTTTTTTTTCTCAAATTTGAATATTTGTTTATTGAAACAAACATGCATTTATCATGACTTCAAATTCCTGTTTGGTATTAACTTTGAGAGCACAAAACTGTTATAGCATCACAGTTGATAAGGCAATAATATGATGAAAGCGAACATCCCATTTTTGGTGATTTGTGTTAGCCAAAGAAGCTTGACATACAGTATCGGCCAACACATTCAAAACTGTGAAACTCTTAAAAGAGAAAGAGACTCTGAAAACATATTGATAAATAACACACATCAATTTTCCAAGCTAGAAAAAAAGATGAGCTACAGTATGTGTTTTCTTATGGCTTGTACTAGACTTCAAATTCTTTAACAGATGTTTTACACTTGAGGTCTTGGAAAAATGGGACAGGAGGAGTATGAAGACTGTGTCTGCAGGCACTGCTTACCTTATATCTCTTTACCAACTGGTCTTTCCACCTTTCCACAAGGCACCCCTCAAGCAGCATCAGTCTGAAAGGACAGTGGAGAGCTAAGCGCACTGCTGTTCAAAAGAACAGTTTCGCAAATGTGCAACAGTCAGTGTTTTCACAGAAACATTTAATGATGACTGAAATGTGGTACAGAATGCCCTCCAACTGGACTCAAATTCATGGTTATTATGAACCTCTGTGACACAGGAAGAGAAGGTCTGAATCTAGCCAGTGCTTTGTTAGAAAATCTTAGAAAACTGAATGATTGTCATTCAGGAATTATTTTTTCGCGATGGCTTTGACAATACTCTATGTACAAGCCACACTTGTGTTCCCATTAGTTCTTTATCTCTCTATTAGATGGTTCACATGAACTATTTTCAGCATTCGTGTGGGGACAGAAGCAAGGCTGGGAGTTGGGTTGAATTAAAGTAAACGACACATGACACCACTGGTCCTTTTTTGTGTAAAGAGTTGTGTTTTTCAAATGTGACTCTAGGTATTTTGGATAAAGTAGCTTTTATCATGTTGCTAACTTTAGTGGTAAGGTAAGTGAGCTCTCAGCTCTTACATTGACATATGAAAAGATAGCAACTGTTACAGAAGAGAGGAGGCCATTAGATCTGAGGATCTAATCACATCCACTGTTGTTTCTAAAGAGGTCCTTCCAGCTGATGTTGTCACTGCCTTTCAAGATTTTGAATACTTCAGTCATATTACATCAAAGTCTTTTAAAAGATTCAGTTCTTTTAGCCTGTCAGAGTAGAATGTTCCTTTGAGCCCATGAAGGTATCCTGTCACTCTTTTCTGATCTGCTTTCTTTGTGTGGAAAAATGTCTCCTGTTTCACTTGTAAGTGTTGTTCCATGAAGTTTCCAGTTTTGTATTTCAGTGCAGATTCTGAAGACGTCCACTGAGTTGGCTTTATTAAGGCCTTTGGGGGTTTTGAATACATGAATCAGGTCCCCACAGATTTTTCTGTTCTGTTCTGTTAAAAAGGCTTACTTCTTTAAACCTGTCCCTAAATGTGTCTTGAGCAGCAATATTTTTAATAATGTAGGAACAACAATTGCAAACAATATTACAAAGGTGTTCTTACTGGTGCACTTTTTAATCTTAACATAATATCCTTTGAATTAAATTGAATGTTTTTAGCAATGTAAATGATGCTTAGGTTGACAAATCCACCTATGAAATAGGTTCAATACTATCATAGTTATATTTTTGCCACCTGCGTGCAATATTTCTGCACTTCTCTACATTAAACATCACCTGTCAGATGTATGCCCAATCTTCTATTCTGTCTAAATCTTTTTGACTTTCTTTGGCAGCTTCAACAGCATTTGCTTATGAACATAAATACATGATGAAAACAATGAACTGTCATCTGGGCTATTTTGCTATTTGTCAGGGATTTTTTTTATCTTACTCTAAACTGTTAAGGATATATTTGTTTTCAAACATATGCTTCAAATATTCATTTATTTCTTACATACATAGCTTAAGGTTGTTTTTAAAGTAATAAATTGGATCAGAGATTATTTTTCCATTCTTTAAAATGTTTTTTTGTATTTATTTCATTTCAGATTTTTGGGTATTTCACATATTTTATGTTTTTCCTCCCTTTTCTTCTATAAAAATCAGAATTTTGTCCATATACAGTATATCGTAATAAAACTAGAAATTATTTTGGAAGCAAGATGAATTTTACTTTCAGGACTCCATGAAAATATGATCCAGCAAAAAAAAAATATTTTGTATTTTAGTCACTTAATGAGCAGAGGCAAATTGTAAAGTTGACCAATTCTAAGAATTTGTTATTTCATTTTCAAAGTTTTAATGAAGTTAAATGTTCTCTATAAGTAAATATTATGTATATATTAAACAATGTAGACTATCTCTGGTTTTTGAATTCCTCAAGTGACAGCTGAAACTGTGGAAGAATAAAATAAATGTGTTCATCAGCCATTTTTGAGTTGTCTGCAATTTCTCTCTTTGTGCTTGAGCTATTTTTTATCTGCTAATATCTCATTTGATTAAGGCAACTGCTGATACTTTCATAACATTTTAAGAAAATAAATAACCTCAAAAGAAAAAAAAAGATCTAGGGCAGATATTAAATCTAAATGCTTATTCATCTGTAAAATACAAATTCCTGACCTGCTACTTGGCAGGCGTTTTCCAATGTCTTGAAATAGGAAATCTCTAGCAAGCTGAATGCCTCTCATGCTATTGACAGGTGAGTCACAGTTTTGATGAAATCTTGGCTTAGGTCTAAATGTGGCTAACAGAGTCCTGACCTGGAAAACTTGTCATATGGCCATGGTCTCAAAGAATAAAAATGTGTAGTTTATAATCAGCTGTTGAAGCTGTATGCTGTGCAAATAAAAGGGTTTAATCATATTCATCTGACTTTAAAATGTGATCTGTCACTTAGATATTTGTGAAAATGTCTGGTCCCTGACAAACAAGGAGAAAAAGTTAAATGCTGTCCTCAGCCACGGTCTGGATGAAATAAACTAAAACCCATGTAGGCCTCAGCCAGACCTTCCTCACTAAACTTGAAGGTCCACATTGTCGGGTGGTTTTTGTTACCATCCAGCTCTCTCTTACACAGCTGTAACCTTAACTGGTTTGGTAACAGGATTACTGTAAACCCGTGGTTAAATGGAATAATAGGGGCAAAGCAGAGTCTGTTATTTCCAAATGACTGGTAAATCAGTTTTTGCAGCCCAGCAACACACTATTATACTGTATGTGCTTATTGTATACATTCTGTATACCATATGTATGATTCTGGATCGTTTGACTTATTTTTAGCAACTGCAATCAAGACAGTCAATGAAATTTATTTCTGTGCAGTTTTATCACAAATATACAAGCTCTTTTTCGTATGTCGTAGATATAATGTAAATATAATGTATATGAAACACTCATTATAAACAACTGACCTACGCTTACGGAGCACCATTGATATTCCTGAATTTTAAAACAAAACTTCGTTTTGTTATTTGCTTTTCCGCGTTACTGCGGGAAGGTCCTCTATTTCAGATTTTCCAGATAACATTCCTCTTTCGTGGATTTTGGAGTTAAAGGCGAAGTCCGTTAAACCGAGCGTTTACAGTAATTGCAACTGCTTGGCTGTCTCAGCTGTTTTCAGTATTTTAGAGGTTGCCTTTTTATTTTTGCATTCCACAATAAAATCCCAAACGTCTCAGTTGGAAAAAAAAAAACCCTAACATGATACTCTGTATGTACTGTACTTCGATCCAGCAGCTTGTTAATTAAATTCACATTTGGTAATGAAGCAAGTATGCCCTCGACAGCTGCTTGTCCTACCGCAGGTGCAGCATGACGTTTCTAGTTTAGAAACTCGGAGCTTCGAGCTTACCTTGAGCGCCACTCGTAGCACATAATGAGCACCTCTTGATTCAGCAGCGGCTGCGGGCACGGGCAGGACGAGTTGGTGATCAAGGGGACGTGAGCGCGCGGGATGGGCTGCGAGGACTTCAGCGCTTCTTTCACCTCCACCACCGTCGTTATCTCATGGCAACCGCTTCGGCTCACGGCCTTGACTTTAGCGTGAATAACTGCAAGGCGCGATTATAATGCTGACTTTCTGTACGGTGGCACTTATGAGAAAACCCTCAGACGAGGGAGTTCTTCATTGCCAATTCTATGTTGTGGAAACATACACCAACACACAGGCGTGTCGTTCCTACTGTAATGAGGAATTTAGTGTATTTCACCAGTCTAAACGTTATTATCGTTATGATTTAAGAAACAGTTGCATTTTGGAACTGTACAGCACTTGCGAATACAATGAAAAAACCAAAAGCAAAACCACAATTTAATGACTTACCATAATTGTATTTTTTTTCCATGTATGTTGACAGCGTTGGTTTAATTTTTTTGCACCTGCAGCGATCTGCACAAAAATAAATTGAAAATCTAGTAGTGATGCAATTTATTTACATATATTCACTCCATGCTACGCAGAACACTCCATCCTTTATAAAAGATATTTGTTCCAGAAAATTAGCATTAACACTCACCGGAATTCCAGCTTTTACAGTCTGACGCATGTGGTTTTTCTAGCATGACATCTCGGGAAAAATCGACCCACTTCACATCTGGGACAATATAAGCATATTTTAAAATACAACACATAACTTGGGGTGATGGTTGTTTCTGGTTGTTTCTACTAAACCAAAGGTCTCCAAAACTTTCTTCTAAAGAGCCCCATTCTGAAGGATATTTGACATCGCCTTTAAATATTTACTTTCTGACAGTTTTATTGTAAACAATTTAACAAGTGATTTGTTAAATTAAATAAATTAAGATAATTTGGGACCAAATAAACATTAAGTACGATTCAACTCTTTGAATTAGACTGGCTCACTTCATGAGTTTACGATTAACTGTTTTGGAGCTATCAAGGATTAGGGTGGGAGAGGCCTTGCTTAGCAATCTAAATACCAGTGGGCTGCATCCACTCTGGTGTGATTCCGAAAATCAAATATCATAAGGTATTTTATCTATGTTAAAATCATAAAGATATGTTAGCAAAAAGTAACAAACCGGAAGTGAAATCCAATTAAGCAAGCTACCTACCAGAACTGACATTACACATGAGATGGTAACATACCTACAGTAACTGGAGAATTTGGCGTTCAATACTTCCAGTAACGCGGTGGGGCACTGTACAACCGGCATATTAAAAGTAGAAACTTACCTTCAGGTAGGTCCGTAACTATGGCTTCGGGAGAGATGCAGACTCCCCGGTCGTACACTGGTAACTCGTCACATGCCAGGCTTTCGGGCCAGCTGTGGTTGTACCGCCTCATGATGGGCTCACACCCGTCCCTCGCTCGCTGGCACACCGACTTGCACGGTTTGATGGGGTCGTGGAGGAACTCCAGGGTGCAGATGGGAGCGTACATCGCGCAGAGGAAAAAGCGCAGCACTTCACTGCAGTTGATGTCCACCAGCTCTTGGTACTGCTCGATAGCAAGGATCGCGTTCTCCTGCGTGCTGTGGTGGAGGTGGTTGGGCATTCTGGTTATGTTCCACGGCATGGTCCTACACATGGGGATATTCACCGGCTCGCAGGGGGCACCGCAGACCACCACTGCGGCACCTATCCACAAACCCAGTACTGCAGCAACTACTGCGGGCATGTTCAAACCCTAGTCTTCAGGGATCACCTGTAAAAGAATTCCTTTTATACGCAAGTTTGAAGTTCAAGACCACGTACTGTATGCAGGAATAATTCCTCGGCTGGACTTTGACAATAAATCCCCAAAGTTCTTGTCCAACAAGACTGATGAAGTCACAGTAAAAGGACGCATATAGATTTTTGTCAAAATATGTATTTATCAATATGGGCTGTCCGTTTGTAGAATGAGCCACAGGAACCCGTTCCTTGAAATTATAGGACTTAATTTAACGTGGGATGAATACCAACTCCACAAGTGACGCCGGTTCTTTCCATTTCTTTTTTGGCTGCATCATTTATTATTTTCCAGACTCAGTGACATCATCCTCATCTCCTTTCAATTCCCTCGACAGCTTCACTAAATCCTCTGTCCCTGTAAACGCTTAGCACCGCACTTCGCTCCTCGTATCGAAGGGCCAATCTACCTGTCCCAATCAATGTGTCAGCCTCAGGGCTACGGGCGAAATTTAAGAGGAGGAAATATGAACGGTCTGAACGCCCCCTCCCTCCCCCTACACCCACACGCTCCTTATCCAATAATTCATGATTTCTTTTCAAGTTTAGTTCTTAATGCAGCCTTCCCCAGCCCTTAGCCTGTATGCACTGATTGTAACATCCGAGGACTGATTTGTTAACCAAGGTCTGCATTGCTAGTTTAAGACACCAGGAGCAAGAGCTTGTTGCTCGCAGGTATTGTAGTTCTTGGTAGTCGATTTCGTTTTCCAGCCATCGGTACTGTAGGGTATCTGTAGACCTGAGAAGTTTCCAGCAATTACATTTTTCAACAGACACGTGCTAAAAATATAGTTAAGATCTGCAGTGTGTATTGCGCTTAATACTCAAAGCTAAAGTCTCTAAGGAAGTTGTATCTACTTCTTCTACCTATCTACTTCTTTCAAATCCGCATTTGTATTTTAAAGTTCTCAAAAAACTCGTTTTATAGAATGCGACAAAATTGCGTAAGCAAAGAACCTGATAAACACTACATTGTCTACATTAATAATATTAGTTAATTTTTATTTATGCGTTTTATTCATTTTGGAGCCACATAATAAGCGACGAAAATGTATTATAGCGCCTGGAAAACACGACGCTTAAATAATTGCTGTCGTTTTTATTTTCATAGTATAAAGTCATATGGAACTTAAATTACCCTTTGCATTTGTCATTTAAATATATTGATCAATTCGTTGCCGTAAATTGTCCAGATTCTAAATTAAAGAAGAAATACGGTCTCATCAAACAATAATAAAATATAGTTTTCAATAAGGCTTCGAAAAATGTTCTGTCTGATTTGTTGTTTAATTTACTATGTAATGAATAGAAAAGTTGATATTCTGTTTCAGAAAAGAAAGAACCGATGACACGTCGGAAGAGATTGAATCAATCTACAGTACATTCGACAGCAAATCAGTGCTGAAGGTTTCAGATGTATTTGCAGAGAATTTCAAAAAAGTAGTCTTGCTGGCGTTTTTTTTCTTTTGAAGAACAGTATGTGCTGAGCAATTCTTCCTTAAGTTTAACTGTCAGACTTGTCATGTAAATACTGATGGACTCGTATGATATGCTATCCCTAGCAAAGGTTTCTAGCTTATAACAAGGATAACACACTGATACCCTATATGTTGTATAAGTCTTTTGGTTATGTGTTTGTTTTTTGCACCACAAGAGGCTCAAGATCAGTGATTTATGATGTGGAAATTAGTGAATTAGCCTTGTTAAATTTACTTCAACCCTTGCCCAGAATTGCATCAATATACAGTATGTACCATATTCGCTTGATTCGGTTATTTTTAAACTGATAAATTTAAGACCTTTAAGAAAAAGACGGATATACCACGATACAGAGGAAAAATAAGGTACATTTTTTCCACATTTTGCCATAATGAATAATTTGACGCACTGAAATTTTCATTCGTCATAATTTATTGGAACTCACAAACGACCCTTCGCAATACACACATCCCCACTAACCGAAGAGAAATAAAAATCCCAATTCTAAATCATTCACAGCATTAGGTTCAGTCCACTGCGCCATCAAAAATCACACTTGAAAACCTTTGACCAGTGCAGTTTGACAAATATTGCTATTACGAGAAGACGTAAAAATAAACCTAAATGCAACTGAAAGCCGAGCCAATGATTCAGCATTTTATCGTCCACAGGGCGAATCGATTCCTCTCATCTTAAGTTTCTACGCACCACACCGACTGCATCAGAGAGCTCGGCTGAGATGAATTGCCTACAGTCTGCAGTTCAGTTACAGGATACTGCTTAAAAAACAGTACAAACGTACATTTTAGTACACGCAAGCCTGTATTTAACAGGATCAGGTGTATTGTAACGATGTGCTTTTATCTGTTTTTTGCTGTGCTATGTCTGTCCGCAGCGGTGCGTTCGCTGGGCCGAACTGCGGCTGGCGGGCCCCCGGCTCAGCCGTGCCAGTCACCGGTGCAATGGGAAGGCAGGACGGTGGTGTATGACCACAGCACAGGGAGGAACAGCCGGGCCTTGGTGTCGTATGATGGACAGAACCAGCGCATTAGGGTCTTGGATGAGAAGAAAGGACATATACCTTGTAAGAAGTACGTATCTATATTACTGTTACACCGTGGTGGCACAGTTACAATACGTGTTTACTTTTCTCTTGTAATGCAATTCAGAGAAAGTGAACTGGAGCTCGTTATTGGGCGTTTTACTGGATTAGGAATTTCGCTATACAGTAATGGATCTGTTGACTAAACAAAACGCATTTAAAATAAGCCTATGTTGAGGGTTATATGTAGACTATGCGTTCATTGGTTTCTACTGTATAAGAGCTGCCATGTTACAAAAATGATCATGTTGATACACTTGCATTATGGGAATTGTTGTTTTGTCATCTTGGATGACCGCAGTTGCTGTCATGGGAAATCCTCGACTGAGGTGTGGTGGGGTTATGTGGGCTGTCTTTTGTACCCATCGCTTTTGAGTGTGATCATACACTAACTACTGCTCATGGTAATTGAATTGATGTTATGGAATAAATGACCGTGGACGGTACTATTACAAATTTTAATTTACTTGAACTGTGGCTTGGACGTGTTTTGAAAATCGCATTCGTTTTTACAAAAATAATTTAAATCAAGACTGAAAGGCCTTTTTTCTGAATCTCAGCTCAATGTAGTGAATTTAAATTATAAATTCACTTCTCCCTGCCTCCCTGAAGGTAGCGTAACATGAGCCGCTTGCTGAACACCGTAAAATCTGTTTATCATGTTATTTTCTATCGGTTTATAAGAGTTAATGTACAAAAAAAGCCAGCATTTGATAGCTAGTTCAATGGAGTATATTTACCCTTTTCAGACCTTTTTGAATACATTTTCTGAAATATTACACTATGTCCACCATCTCAGATATAGTATTGGCAAACGATCAAAGCTGAATGTGGTATGATTTTTAGAGGAACTTGATATGGCCCCCCCAAAAAATATTTGATCACACCTGTACTGTAGGATGACAAATGAGCAACTTGCAATTAATTTAGGTGGGTAGCTGCGTCAGCATGCGTAGGCTGCAAAGGAACAAGTAATAGGTTTATTCCATGCTGAGAAGAGAAGAAAAAAACGTTTCTGCTGTGGAACCTTCTTCAGGCGGTCACGGCCGAAACATTGTGTTTTCTTTCTTCTCTTTTCAGTATGGAATAAATCTATTAGTTTATTTATACTGGCAAATCGATTTGTGTAGGTAAGTGGCAAATACAACCACCAGTAGTCAACCAGAAATAGTTAAGAAAATAAAAAGTTATGAAGGAGAAGGTGAAATGCAGCATACTTTCAGTGGTTTATTTGGTTGCCAGTTGGCAATTGATTTTAAAGAGCTCATCTAGCCATTTCTTGAAAGATGTCAATTTTTTCAACCACATGGTTGGGTCTGGCTTGTTCCAGTCTCCTCTGTCAGATGTTTCAGGTATCACATACAGTATCGAAAGCATCATTCACTACTGCTTCTGTTGCACATACACAGAATTGCAAAATAGTAGGAATTGTGAGATGAGGGGATGGCAATCTTCTGTAAAGTTACATTTTTTTTAGAGACTTTTGAAGGAAAAAAAGTCACAGCCAGCTGTGAATTCAGAACTGTTCTCAAGGTATGATAAGAACGTAAAATTTGCAGATGGAGATCTGAAGATCTTTCCAGAAAATTCATAAAGTATAATCACTTAAAAGAAACCATTCTACCTTCTTCAATAACATACCTGTAGCTGGGTCGATTTATCCAGTCTCCCCAAACCTTTTTTAACTGTGTACAAACAAACTGTGTACTTTTCCTAGTTTCAATGCACGTCTCTGTAGTTACAACTTGTGTTCTCCGGTTCATGATTAAGAACATAAGAACCAACAAGCAAGGGGCTTTTGGCAGTTTAACCCATTTAGTAGTTATAGTAGCAAAGTGATTGAAGGATCTCGTCCAACCATTTCTTGAAAGAAGCCCATGTTTTGGCTTCAACAAAATGTGAAACAGAACCTTGTTCTTCAGTTGTTTCTGAAGATGTCCTTCCAGTAAACTTTGTCAATGTCTTTCAGGAGTTCAAATATGTAAATCACTTCGTGTCATGGTTTCCTCTGTTTTAAGACTTAAAAGGTTCAGTTCTTTTATCCTGTCAGAGTAGAACGTTCCTATAAGCCCATGAGTGTATCTTGTCACTCTTCTCTGCTTTGGGATAGCACAGTAACAGTAACACATTTGCAATGTGACCAAAATTGTGTCCAACATTTTTAGTCTGATATTGAGTTGAATGCACTGAGAAATTTTCATTCAAGATCCCTTTATTTAAATTTTGGACTATATATGCAATACTAACATTGTTTGCCATTTTATTGTTTTACCTATTTATTGCTTCCCAACATGAAAATGATCTGCCAACATTTACATCTCATTCTTTTTCATTGTTGCAGCAAACCACAAGATATTCAAATACTGTAAACTGAAGCATTTTCCTCTCAGAAAGTGCTGGTAGTCAAGCCAGGATTCGCTACAGATCAGTTTGCTTGATTGGTTTGGTGACAGGCCACAATCCTGATTCACATAAGTACCTCAAGGCTAACATAATGAAGTCCAGTGCAACCAAAAAACTGAAGCTTTGTTACACAGCTCCTCACTTAGTTTTTTATGGAACTCGGAATGTACAAAATACAAAGTTATAAGGTTCTGGACGGGCTGTGCTTGGAGACTAAACTTTAAAGCATACCGGCAAATATTTTAGTGAAAAACAAGATAAAAGCTGAACAATGTTTTATTGTTAAAATATAATATTTTAGTATTTGTAAATATTGTTTTTAAGACATTTACTAAAACAATACATTTTATTTCTGTTGTACCAAAATATATTTTGGTGCATCCCATGACTTAACTTATTTTGAGTATCAGAGTAAAAGGATTTGTGAATATTTGGCAAGCCCTAAATGCCATAGCATGTTTTTCAACCGCTCATAATCACATGAAAATGTTGTAAATTCTATTTTATATACTATTTAGCTTGCAGATGAGAATCCCAGTCAGATATTTAACAGTAGATTTTTTTCATTGTTGCTGGGTTTATGTATATATATTTATCAGCCATGGTTGGTCAATCATTAAGATGCTTAACAAATCAATTATAAAGCTTTTAGGTTTTACTTTCTGAGATGACCAAGAGCCAGCCTTTGGTATATGAAAGCGCCTGAATTGAGAGGTTTTGTAAGTATTATCTCTAAAAATAATGTGGCCAGTCTTTTGTTCCTATTGTACTGTTTAAAAAACGCATGCTCCATTCTTAGCTATTTTTGATGATAAAGTATGCGTGGGGTTAAGCAGAAGTCGTAAAACCACAATCAAGGGGTAGGTGTCCTACTGTCTGCATACCTGTGTGTCAAGGCTTACACTGGACTGATGAATAGCACCATATGGTCAAAGGCAAATATAACATCCTTTGCTTTAGTGGTGGACAACCTTGTAGTGCCAGAATCAACAAATTGTTACCACTCCTCTGTCTGCTTTTTGGACAACTTGGTTAAATGCATTTTTAAGCTAAGATTCATCAATCATTTTTAATTGGGTAAAAATTGTGCTCTGAAACACTGTACAGTAATGAAAAATTAGGCTTGATCTGTTTTTTGCTTTTTTAAAGAAAATACTGTATAGGATAGTTTCTAAGAATCTACGTTAATGTAACATGCAAAGATGTAATCTTCACTGTTTAGTCATAATTACTCATGTCTGAAAACCATGTACAAACATTTCAGGTCGGTAGGTTTTGTGAATCATTTCCTTTGCAATTTATTCATGTCCACCAGTGTGTCTTTAGTTGCCCTCAGAAAAACCGATGCAGGCCAGCACCATGTTGTAAAAATAAGCTAGTGTGGGAAAAGTTAAATGTCACGAGCTTGCCCTCTGCCTCATATGCTACAAGTCTAAGTGGAACATTTGCTAGGAATCAAGATTTTTAATGATTGTTTATCATTTTGTTTTTGTAATTGGATGCCTATTTTATCCAGTGGAAATTGTGAATGTTTATAAATCTAGGGGGTGAGCACCCCCTTATAATAGCAAAACTGTGAATTCAAAGCCACTACTGAAGTTTTAAAATGCATGCGTGTTGGCATGTATTGGCAGTGCCTTAATATCTCAGTGGTTAGTCACAGTAAACAGTGTAATGGGAGTTGGGTCCATTCCTGGATAAAACATGCAACAGCCATCCCAGTGCAACCCAAGACAATTCAGGGCTTCCAGAACTGTCCATTTCTAACTGCTTTTCTGGCAAACTGCCTTCATTTTCTGACAGCTTTATCCATTCAAGGGTCTCAGGGAAGCCAGAGCCTATCCCAGCAAGGTGCAGATGAAAGGCTGGATACACCCTGCATGGGATGCTAGCACATCACAGGAGACGAACAGACTCGCACCTGGGGTAATTTTTCCAGAAGCCAATTAACTTACCAGTACTTTTGGAGGAAACAGGAGCACTTGGTGGAAACCCACGTGCAGGCCCTACAAGAGGGGCGGCCAGCAGGGCCACTTGGCCCGGGCCTCAGCTCACAAGGGGGGCCTCACCGCAGCCAAGGGTGCAGGGTCGTCCACTTTAACCCTTTGGCTGTGTTTCTCGACTTGAGTCGAATCTGAAACTTTTACCATACAGCATACTGTGATTCTCAACTCACGTCCACGGCTGTGAAAAACACGTCCCCCTTTCAGTGCTGAATCTTTAGGAGTTTCAGAATGCCCGCCTTAATCTTCCCATCATGCCGTGCTTTACCTCAAAAGATTTTTTACCCCTCTTCCCACACAATGAGGGGGCCTCACAATGTGAAATGGATCGGGCCTCATCTGAGCTCTCGGAGGTCCTGCCCACATGAACATGAGAACAAAGTACAAAGTACATTCTGATAGCATCCTAGGAGTTGACCCCAGGGCTACAGTGTCTCAAGGCAGCACTGCTAACCACTGCGCCACTGTGCTGCTTCCCAGATATCTTTTATAGTAATTTAATCAAATGTTGGGTGTTGGAGAGATCAAAACAAAGAGAATTACAAGAAATATTCTTTAAGTGCTTGTTAAGGAGATTTAAAAA